GCGAAAGACACATGATTCAAAGACGTATCTGTGTGTATAAAGTCGACATTGAAAGCTCTGGCATGGCAATCCACTGGATCCTGCTACAGACTTGAAGCTCGGGATGTTGCCCGGATCCGAACTTCAAGCGGCCCATTCAGGATGGTAAAGCGCCGGGACTTCGAGCAGGTGATGAAAGAGCGCCGCCGACTGCTGGTCACCCCGGCGATTTTGTGGACTGTGGGAGCACGACGCATTCCGACGCCTTAGTAGCCCAGGCTTAGCTCGTAGCTTTGAGTTTTAGACTTTAATCGTGTGTGCTTGTTGCGGTTTGAAGCGCTGAAACTCACCGGGTGATTAGGTAGACGCTGCAGTTTGAATTCGTAGTTGCAGGGTTTGGCCTCTAGATTCTAGGCTTGGCTGCTCTCAAAAATTTTGAAATAGCCAAAGCCTCGTAGTTAAGGCATGGCAGGTTGTAGGAGTCCTGTTGGCAGTAGGAGAGTTTTGGGTTGCGACTGCGAGCCTGGGGATGTAGCTTGGCCTCAGACGTGGGGTCGGGCGTGGGACTTACTGTATATCCCTTAATTAAGGAATATTCCCTAAATTATTGTAGGATCCCTAATATGATATAAGGAATTTCCATAAATTAAGGGATATTGGAGTCTCTGCGCCCCTACAATCATTCCATACTTGTAGGTCAGCGATGCAGAAGCCGGTGCGCCGAAGCAGCTGCCAACAGTCTACCACTGTTTTTCCGCAGCGAATGCAGTCAGCACGCGCTGAAGCAGCTTTCCGCGTGGAAGATCGAGCTTCGGCTTCCAAAGCTCTCATGCTCCATAGCTACAGCAGGCTTCAAAACGGGAGCTCCATTGATCCTGTTGAACCAAGTGGAGCCCCTTGACTCCGCGCCCTGCAGCTGCAGCGGCTGCCCACCTAAGCATCCACTCTATAGACTCTAGGCCCTACAAACTTTGTGCGTAAATTCCAAACCAAGTTCCCACAGAGCCCCAGATCAGACATGCCTTCGCCAGGAGGCTCACAGTGCCGTCATGGTGCCGCGGGGTGCCCAGCAGAGGGTTGGAGGTTCTTGCGCGCTTCGGGCTTCCGGTTCAGCCCTAGGCCCTTGAGTTTGTCTATCCTGCAGGTGTCCGTGGGTTTGTATCTTGGATACCATCGCGAGTCTGATGCAGATTATAGAGCTCTGGTGTAAGAAGGATCCTTGGATCCTTCTGATTAGGGCCTCGACTCCGTATTCGGATCCCTGGCCTCTGGTCCTCTGCTGCGGCCTCGAGTTTAGGCTTCCTCCGGAAAAAGGGGGGGATCCTGAGCTTTCGATCCCTCTCGAAGTCTTCAGTGCAGTGCTCAGGGACGCAAGACAAAGTGCTTTGGGTTTTTCCAATCTTTTATAGGTTATCACGCTCAGGGCTCATAGACTGGGGCTTCGCGTGCCTAGGTGTGTAAAGAACGAGATGGCCTAGCAGCGCTTTGGCAAAGATCAAGGCCCAAGGCAAGGGGGACGTCTGTGCTTGTTGGCATGATCCTGTTCTTCAGAGCTCCGGGAGACTCGGGATGAAGAAGCAGAGACCATGTTAATTCTCGTGCAGCCCAGCAACCTCTCATCCGACTGCCACCCTTTTACACACTTGGGCCCCTGTTTGTCGAGCTCTGGAGGATATCTGCGAGGTCGAAGCACAAGGCATATTTGGGATGCGTGGTTTTAGGCAGGGAGGTTATGCAAGGCCACGGCTTGGGAAAAAGCAGACCTACCAACCTGCAGAGTAAAATGAGGCAGCAGAAGCAACCACAGCAGTGCTGCCAGTAACAAGAGTCATAAGCACGTCTCCCGTCAGGGCGGACGATACTGACCACGACCTCATGTGTTGAGCTGGCATGCAGAGGATCGCCCAGAAACATGTTACAGGATCAGAGCAGAACACAGTTTTGCTACAAGTTTAGGGTTCAGTCAGGAAGGCACCGGATGGATACATCTGGGAACGAGCTCTGTGAGTATTCAGTTGAACGCTTGAGAGTTTGCACCTGTACAGCTTCATGAAGGGGGGCACTGCTGATTGCGCCCTCTCATGGGGGCACAGTGCATGCTGTTCATGAGCCTAGGTGTTGTGAGCACGACCCCAGCAGGCCATGAAGTAGAACCCGCAGCCCACATTTGGAAGAGCATGCCGTGGTGCATGTTTATGTTTATAGATGCTAGCTAGATGTATGATGTGGTTGACCTCGCGGTGCTCGACCGCCCCCTGAACCTCAGAATTCCGAGCAAAAGCCAGAGCAAATGTCGCAATGGCAAAGCTGCAAGACTCCATACACACATCAGCAGTTACGACAATGCCAACAACGGCGATGAGGGTGTCAGCGGAAACAGCAGCAACCACTGTTTGAACACTGTCTACTGCTAGCACAAGCACGCACAAGTACCACTGCTACCACTACTACCACTACTGCCACTACTACCACTACTACCAAAACTGCCACAACTACCACTACTACCACTACTATCGCCATTGCTACCACCGCTACTATCGCCACTCCTACCACTACCACTACCACCACTTCTGCCACTTTAGCAACTTCTACCACTTCTACCGCCACCGCTACCACTACCACTACCACAACTACTACTACTGCTGCTACTACTACTACTACTACTACGACTACTACCACTACTAGTACTACTACTACTACTACCACTACTTCCACTACTTCCACTACTACTACTACTACTACTACTACTACTACTACTACTACTACTACTACTACTACTACTACTACTACTACTACTACTACTACTACTACTACTACTACTACTACTACTACTACTACTGCTACTGCTACTGCTACTACTGCTACTGCTACTACTGCTACTGCTACTACTACTGCTACTCCTACTCCTACTCCTACTCCTACTACTACTACTACTACTACTACTACTACTACTACTACTACTACTACTACTACTACTACTACTACTACTACTACTCTTATCATGAATCCCTCGCCTCAGCACCACTGCCCCACGACCACTGCCACAGCCACAGCCACTGCCACTGCCGCCACCACCACTGCTACCACGACCACGACCACAACCACCCGCCCCACCAGCTTCAGGAGCCGCACCGGCAGCAAGCAGGGGCAGCACAGTTCCCAATATCAGTATTATGAGTCGTGGTTAGCACTAGTCCACTAGTCTTACGCAGTATGGGAAGCAACGTATTCCAAGACACAGCACTCACCGATCATCGTCGTATCATAGATTGTCACCACGGAGCAGGCTGGTGACAACCGTATGTATCATATGGATCAGTTGAATTGGGAAATAGCGAATAGTGAGAACTTATTCGAGGAATGACCGATGCAGCAGCAAGACTTGTGAACTTCAAGAACATCAGACGACCAACGCGACGGTCGTAGGGCTAGACTGTGTGATCCCTCTGCCCTCAGACGTAAGGCGAGACAAGTGCGGTATCAGAGCATCGTGTGGTCATCTTTTTGCACCCTGCACCCCGGACTCCTGGCATCCACCCCTAAGCCCGCAAGCTCTAGGGGGCGTATATGAGCGGTTTGGTTTTAATTGGGCCTGTAGGCTTCACCGCTTGTCTGAGTTTGTGAGGTTTTGGAATGTTTGTTGTTCTTCTGTTGACCTTTGAATTGGGGGTTCAGGATTTAGAGGGTGTGTTTGGTAGTGTTATTGATGACGTGAAGGGGAAGGTGTGCCCCCCGTTCTCCAGCCACTTGCGATCCATTTTTTAGCATAATGATAGGCAAGAGGCCAAAGGCCAAATTCAAGAAGAGAAGACTGATTTCTGAGTGGTGATAAGAAGAACTAGAGGGAGGACATCGACACCGCACATAGCCAAGGAGCCCTATGTTCATGTAGCTGCGACTATGAATCTCCCATCGTTGTAATAGTGGAGTCCGAAAAGTGCAAGAGTTTTCATGAGGTCCATTGGAGTGCGGGTGCAATGCCAGCCCACAGATTAAAAGTTCCGTGTTAATCGGGGGGAGTCCGGGCGCTAATCCTTGCATCCATCAGCGACACTTCCGCAGAAGATGTGAGCCTGGCCGTGCATAATATGGAGATGTAACCCTTGTACCAACTACTGTATGGCCACATTTCTTTCTCAGTTCCTGGTGGCTTGTACAGAGCCCGGTGGTTGCCAGGTTAGAACACCAGCACCGCCTCAATCTCGGTCGGATTCATCTCAGCTCTGGGCACTGCCACAACTCATAGAGAGGATAGACACACTGGTCGATCGGAGGAGACCTCGTGAATACTTCTAGGAGTTTCCCTGGCCTGTAGTTTGGAGGGGCATTCTATCTTGCGTCCTGGGGTGCCCTGCAGCACAGCTGTAGCTACTGTAGTTCGAGCAACTGTAAGCAGCTGCATCGGCGGCTTGGCCACGAGCTGAAAGCACTCAACGCAGACTGATGCCTTGCACTGCCTGGTGCGGAACCCCATGCAAAGCTCTGGATGTAATGTTAATGTAAAGTTGAAGGAGTACTCGAAGCCTGAGGCTTCTGTAGCGCCTCGAAGATCCATTTTATTGGTTGCTTCTTTGGTTCCACATACCGTGCATGAAACTATTGCTTTCGTCCTTATTTGCGGGACAGTAAAGGGAATGCCAAAGCCCGCTTTCACCACCATGAGCACCGAAAGGATAGAGCACACCTGTGAAGGCCGCACGTGGTTTCGCGGTTGCTTACAAACCAGGCTTCTCTGCTCTCTTTTGAAATGGGGCTCGCGAGTGGCCTTAAGGATGAGAGCGTTTCGGACGTGGAAAAATCAATTGATCCGCAGCGATGTGTCCACCATGTGTGAGCGTAGCAAGCCCGGAACCCACTTTCCGAAGTTTCGGAAAGTAAGAAGTTCGTGCATGTCTTAGGACCGATCCCTCCTCACCTGGAAGCAGGAAATATGGGAGAGCGCTTTTGAAAATGCTTGGCTCCAGCCCGACGCCTTCTTCACAAAGGGGGTTGCAAGGGCCCAGGAACCAGCCAACTCAGCGATGGCGCTGAAACGCATACAGAAAGAGTTGCAGGCCGTGGGCTCAGCAGGTCTTAAAGTCTTACCGACCGGTTCTGTTTTGGTTTGGGATCCTAAGTCACCAAGTTGAGGTGTCGAGAGCAGACATGCGCATGCTTGCCGGGCACCTCTCTGAAGTCACAGCTGAAACCGAAACCCAGATTAGGAGGGTCCTCACTTACATGGTTGAGCACCCATATGCCACATATGCTATCTCACTATGTACAGCACATGCTTCCGTCGGTACTCTTGATGAAATGGCTGGGTTCAATCTCCTGATACAAAGGCAGCCGCCATATGGATCGAGAACTTCTCCTGAGAGCGGCAATGGTAAAAGACTTTCCCCAATGCTCAGGACTTGGGAAATGACCCACCCGCGAACTGCTCCGCCGGCCCGGTGGGGGATGACATGTTCAACTGGCAGGCCATAGAAGCAGTGGGAAAAGGGAACGGCTTGGGTCTCATGGCATGAAGTTCACACGCAGGGTACCGCGAAGTCAAAATGCGCAGGCCACCATCATGGGCCCACCAGACTGCCCATACTCGGGCGGTGTCTTCTTCTTGAACATCAACTTTCCTTCGGACTACCCCTTCAAGCCGCCAAAGGCCCGGGACTTTTCGCGCAGACCCACGAAAGGTGCTAACTAGCACTGTTGTGACCATCACATTCCTTATGTGCATGCTCAGATGCCAGGTGCATTTCACCACGAAGATCTACCACTGCAACGTGAATTCGAATGGGGCAATCTGCCTGGACATCCTGAAGGACCCCTTGTCCAGCGGGAGTGGCGAGGGCGGTGGGGGCCGTGCTTTGTGGGCAGCCTCGAACTTGACTATGCGAGGATCAGTGGAGCCCAGCACTGACAATCTCGAAGGTGCTTCTCTCCATCTCGTCCTTGCTGACTGACCCCAACCCCCAGGAGCCGTGGGGTTTTGGACTGATGCTGGAGGATGCAGTTATTCTTCTGGCTGGCGTATCTGACGTTGGTGGCCCATGGTGCTTCCTGCAACAAGCCGGAACCCTTTTCCAAACCCCAGCAATGCCTGAGGACGTCTTACAACATGTTGTATCCCAGCACACAGCCTGTTCATGCACATCCATGCCCAGAGCCAGCCAGGATCCGCTCGTGCCGGAAATTGCGCAGGCCGGCAACATGCGCTTGTGTCGATTCAGTTATCATCGCGTGTAATCTCACAGTGAGTTAAACCTACGTGCCTGTATCAAACATCAAGATTGGCTGCTTCTGGTTTCAGTTGCCGATTCCTTGCCACCGTGGTGCATGACATTATGACATTATTATGTACCCTTAATTTTCAACTCAGCTACTTCTGGTATCATCGCTAACTGTGACCGACTGATTGGAACGGGTGTAATCCAATGCAATAGTGACATGATCTAGTTCAAGCGTTGTTTTGATTTGGGGCGGCTGTGCGCCGTGCGACTACCATTCAACCACTTATTCCGTTTTCTCTTTTACCAAGCCCCGTTATCGCAATAAGGCGTCCTTACTGGTCATGTTTCATCACCTGTCAGCTGCTTTTGCATGCACTTTGCGGGTTAATGAATGTTCACTTGGATGCATTGAGATGTGGATTTCATCTTTCTTAATTGTTCTGTTCATTTTTGGAAGCATGTTTCCTGTGCACGCAAATACAGAGTTATACAAGTACATAAGTATTTAAGCAAAAGCAAGCCACCAGGCCATCTAGCAAGCACGCAAGCCTGTAAGCACAGCCGTGCATGTGTGGATGGATGGACGCATGGGTCAGATAATATGTAAGTAAGTATGTGCGTGTATTTACATGTGCGTGCACATGTATGGATGCCCGGAGCATGCTTTGATGGAAGGATAAATGAACTTACCTGAGCATGTCTCGTCAATCACATGCTCATGGTGTCATATCCTTGTGAATACGTTGCAGTCAGCTGCATTCGATTCATCCTGGGTTCGTGCCATAGAGGGAACGGAACCCCTCCAGCTTTTAGACCACTCCGATGCATGTCGTTCAAGTCATGTGGGGCAGTTCAGTTCTGGAAGCACTTCGTGGGGTGCGTGCTGTCTCCTTAAGCTCGACCCATTGTCTCTGTGAGTGTGTGTGTGTGCGCGTTGGGGAAGAAACAGCTTTTCTCCAGCCTAAAACTCGAGCTACATAAAGCAATAGGCAGATAACCGCTCATCGAACAGAGAAGCAACGACTAAGTAGAAACAATCAGCAAGCAAATCAACCAAGAAATATCTGTACCGACGTGTGTGTGTGTGTGTGCGCGTGCATGTATGTGCCTACATCTCTAGGTATGTATGTATATATGTATGTATGTAAGTGTACGCATGTGTGCATGTAGGTAGGTAGATAGGTAGGTAGGTATGTTTGTAGGCATACTACATAGGTATATGATATATGCATATGCATACGAAAACATACACATTTCAGTATGCAGCCCGTAGCTGCCCCCTTCGACGAGGTCTACTTGAAGGACCGTGCAAAGCACGACACCACCGCGCGTGAGTGGGTTCAGAAGTATGCGACCTAGACAAGCAGCTGGCAGTCAGGCTCTGATTGTAAACCTCGCGATGCCTGCTGCTGCCTGCATTTTTGTGCAGATCAGGAAGGGCGCCGGTCACTTTAAGAACCAAGGATAGCTGACAATCTCTTTAGTTCCTTTTTTTGCAGATGTTCGGATCTCAGTGCAGTGGCCATCCCGACAACTTCGGTTGAGTTGGCCGCTACTTGTAGTGTCCTCGATGGTGAACACTGAAGGACAGGACCATGGCAAGCCCTACCCGAATCCAAGATGGATGTTTCCGATGCCTGCGCTGGCAAAAACACATCCAGGGAAAGGAGGTAGAGACTGTGAGAGCCCTCCGCTTGTAATATGGCCCTAAGCGGTCTGAGACACTTACCCTAAACCCTAAACCCTACACTCTGTCAGAGACCTCAAAACAGGGCCCGGTCCTGCTGCGTGGGTTGCTCTGGCTTAGCGGCCCTTGAGCTTGTGCCTCACTCGTCCGACCGCGACCCGGCTCGGCCAAGGCGCGACGGACCCCAGAGGAACTAAGGGAACCTGTATGGTCGATCTGCATAGATGTGTACAAATATGTATATACACACATATATATATATATGTATATGTATATATATATATATATATATATATATGTATATATATATATATGCACATACAGAAAATAACACACTACAGGCCCGAGTTTTTGCGAGTGGGTCGCGATATATATTTATTTCTATATATATATATATGTATATGTATATGTATATGCATATGTATATGCATATGCATATGTATATGCATATGTATATGTATATGTATATGTATATGTATATGTATTAAGTATATGTATATGTATATGTATATGTGTATGTGTATGTGTATGTGTATGTGTATGTGTATGTATATGTATATGTAATTATATGTATATGTATATGTATATGTATATGTATATGTATATGTATATGTATATGTATATGTATACGTATATGTATATGTATATGTATATGTATATGTATATGTATATGTATATGTATATGTATATGTACATGTACGTATGTATACATGTATGTATGTAAGAGGAACCCTTATAGGATCCCTCAGAAGCTGTGTAGGAACCCAAAGGAACCCTGACTCGAACGCTTTTGGAAAGGATCACGGTGGCACGGTTTTCAGTCGGTAAAACTTTTCATCGCATGCAGAGATGTCACCGCAGAGCACCCCTCGCGAGGAATTGCAAAAGACGTCATGCCATCGACCGATTTCGTTTTCCGAGACAGAGTAGCCTGGTTCGGAGCTGCCATCGGCGGTCCTGTCGCTTCCCGTCGCGTCCCGGTCCGTGTCAAGGCCGTCAGGTCCGGTCCTTCGAGATTTTCGGTTCTCGTGTTTACGGTTTTGGGTTTAACAACTAAACCGTTCCGGGCTCAAGGTTTAACAGGCAACTCACCAGCTGCCGTTTTAGGGATTGTCGGGTTGATGGATGCGTTGGCGTTGAGGCGCGCATGGGGATTGCAGCTTTTCAGGCCTTTGGTCTCCGAAGCATTGTTAATTCTATTCTCTTCTAGTCTATTCTATTCTCTGCTATTCTCTTATGTTAAACGTTGTATGAAAGGGGCTGTTGGGTCCTGAAAGTCGGAAGCCCAAACTTCGCAATGGCTTAGCGTCAGGCCCCAAGATGGGCTTCGCCGATGAGAATGCCATTCCTGCCGGCGGCGCCAAGGCCTGCGATTTTGTTTTTCCTATCGGGGGTTTGTGCCAGGGTTCTCTTTGGCATGCTGATTCTTGCGCCGGCTATTCAGGTCGAGCAACCACGTACAGGGGTGTCCAGTGTGCATTCCAGGTGAAGTCGGCAGTCACACGAGGACGGCCGCTGCGTGAGGTGAATCGCTGCGCAGACAAGGTGCGGATGGGAGTTCCTTGAAGGGTGTTGTCCTTGCTACGATGTGTATTGGTGGTGGTGGTGGTGGTGGTGGTGGTGGTGGTGGCAGTGGTGGCGATGAACCGATGGAAGGGCTTAAGTGATCTTAAGTGTAGGCAGGGGTCAGTCGTGCTAGCTGAGTGAAGACTAGAGGGGGAGGGGTTGCAAGCTTATGTTTCGTAGAAAGGGTGGGCCAAAAGCGGGCCAATGATCATTGGTTCATCCAGCCCCCATGTATTCCAAGCTGCGCCACGCTTCCTTGCAAACTTTGGGGTCATGTGCGTCTGCGGCGGCTGGTCTGACATCCCTGGCCGCATCCATCTCGTCGTGACTTGTCATGTCCCTCTCTTTGATACAACGCACGGCACACTTTTTCAGGGCCTGGCGCCCAGCAGCGCGGAGCTTGAGAAGAGGCCGCGGCTTTCATTCATTCGCTACAGACAATAACAGCCGGTGTCGGTAGGAGCCTCCAAGTTGCGCCCATTCCACAGCTTCCCCTTGTGAATGTAGCACCCCACTGCCGAGCCGGATCCGTTGCCATTGCTGGTCACTGTGCGAAGTAAACTTTCATGCTACATTCTGCATGATACTACGACTGCGATTCACAACCTCTATAGATCTGGGCTAGAGGGCCGTCTCGGAACATCCAGAATCCCGTCGATGGAATGCAAATGAGTACAGCTGCTGGAAAAAAGTTCCAGTGCCAGGTACATTGATGCCAAGCGTAACGAGCTTCGAGAGGGGCGGCTTCGCAACGAGCGATCTTGCCATGCTGCCATTCACAAGCCGTCGGTGTACACCAAGCTCACAACCAAGGCGCCACACCTGGGTGTTGATGTCTGCTGCTCCGCCTTTGCCTGAGAATGAGCTGCTCCCTGATTTTTATGAAAGTGAGGGAAGCCCTAAACTGGAACAGTAAACCCGAAGCTCATCGAAGCCGAAAGGGCCCTAAGTCAGGGTTCCCGAGAATGCGTCGAATGCCAGGCCACCGTGCCCCATGAGTTCAACCTCAGCTGCTCTCGGCGGAGCGTGGGGGCATGCCTTCTCCTCAGACTTCAAGGGCATCATCGGTTTAGGATTTAGGATTTAGGGTTTAGGAGTTTAGGAGTTTAGGGTTTAGGGTGATTGATAGACGTGCAAGTCTTAGTCCAGCAGCATTGCAATGACCAATGTCATGGACGATTTCAGGCGTATATGCTGGAGGAGTCTTGGATCACATTTTTCCGATGACTGCAGGTTTCTGGACCAAGGGTTTTATGTTGGCACTGCACATCGGAGAAGAAACCGCTAATTCGGCCATTTCGCCCCTTCCTTGCAACCTCCTGAGACCGTTGGTTTATCGGGCGAATATAAACATAGTTTTCAAGGACCGTATGCCAGTCTCAATACCAAAACCAGCACGGTTGAAGCGCACTGTCGCGGAACCCTACACTTCTAAACCCCTTCTAAACCCTCGGACCCCTTGGATACTAAAAATATGATCACTATACACTGAGCCCTGTGACAAGCCTAAGCGAAGCTTTTTTCAGGCTCTGAAGACTCCGACATGGATGTGGAGCCCGGGGCGGAGTGGACCTCTTCTTTGCGGAGGCCGCTCCGGTAATTTCTATCCTTGAGGTTCTTGTGCTGAGTCTGCCTCACGAAGCTGAGGATGAGTGCCTAGGGTGGTCCGTCAGAAGGGTTGATTGTCGCTCAGCTGTAGGAGGAGTGTGACTCTTCCAGTCGTGTGCAAACCCGATCAGAACCGTAGTGTTTCAGGCTTAGGCAAAAAGTTGCTCAACAGCACGAGCCGGCTCAAGGCAATAGTGTGGTTAACCTATCAGGTGCCATATGAATAGCATGGTGATCACTACGATCAGCCTTTTTTTGGCTACTTCCATGTCGTCACAGTTCGTCGTCTTCGTCCCACTAAGGGTAAACCAACACCCGCTACCCTAAAAACCTAAAACCCCACAACCACCCCCAAAGCCCTAAAATTCGAAACCCTACAAAACCCTGAAAACCCAAACCCCAAGGTCCTAAAGCCTAAACGGCTAAAGCTCCAAAACCTCAAAACCCTAGAAGCCCCAATATAGGGGCCTTAATAGTTCCCCACACTTTTTTTGGGGGTTCCTTAGTATAATCATAGTATAATGGGCCCAAAACCCTCTTCTAATTATTAAGGCCCCTATATCATAGAACTCTATCATAGATCCCTTTTAAGGAATCCTTTCAAGTTGCCCTAGTCTAACGGTTAAAGCTAAGCCCCCACCTAGACCTACTAAACCCTCCTTGTTTGAGGTTCCTACTATAAACCCTAATATGGGATTTATAGGGACCCCACAAACAAGCAGGGTCTTGTAGGTTAAGGTATGTTAAACCCTCTTTAGGGGTCGCTCCTCGAGCCGAAGTCGCCAGCCCGAGTTGACGGTTCCTCGAGGCCGGCGAGGTGAGTTTCCTTTTTTGTTTCTCTTTAGGGTTTAAGGTTTAGGGTTTAGGGTTAAGGTTTTTTTGGTATATGGGAGTTTCCAAAAATTAGGGGTATCTTATCTTGGGGTCCCTACAATAAGGATCCTACTATTCAGGGTACTATCTTAGGGTCCCCTATTTTGGGAAACTCCCATGTGGCTTTCCTTTTGTTGTTGTTTGTTTTTTTTGGGGGGGCCCTGCAAAGGTGGAGGGGGGGGGGGAGTTTGGGGGGGTGGGGGTGGGGGGGTGGTTGCAGGGGATGTTGGGGTGTTTGGCGTTTGTATTGTGCATGGGTTTGGGTTGGGTACGGCCCCCATACAGTAACAGTCTATAATAGGGCTACTATTACGGGCCTTATATATCTATATTATGAATATTATCCAACTGCTACTGAGTGGGGGCCGTTCCCAAGGTTTGGGTTACGAGGCTAGGTTTGGGGTTAAGTTTAAGGTTTAGGCCTGCGCCTTCCAGCTCCCATGCCCTCCGGTCTCAAGAAGTTGGCCGTGGTACGGTTGATGATATAAATCCTGCATTACCTTAAGAACCCTAAACTCTGGGAATTATGGTATGCTCCCTATTATGGGTAATGCAGGATTTATATCATCAACCGTATGACACACTCGTCGTAGTATCGATGCCATAAATGCGGCAGTCCGGGTCCGGACATTGGACTCTCAGGCAAGAGTTCGGAAGGCAGGGCAGGTATGCTACATGTTTGAGCTGTATACTCATTACCCCCACTATGATTCTCGTCATTTTGATTCTTCGGATAGCAACACCACCTACCCCTGCTGATTCTACAAAAAGCAGCCAGTGCCCATGTGGAGGTTTGCATAATTGGTCGTATTGTCCCTGTAATTGCCCTATATATTTAGACTACCCCAGGCCCTAATCCTATACCCTAACACCCCAATAGCCGTAAAGCCCTAAACCCACAACCCCAATGCCCGAGACCCTACCCTAAAACCCCGAAAGCTATACTACCTAAGAGCCCTACGGGATCCTATACCCAAATCCCTAAATTCCTCTACCAGCCTATACCCGCAACCCCACTACACCCTAAACCCTAAACTCCTAAACCCTATTAAACCCCTAAACCCCTAAACGCTAAACTCTACAGCCCTAAAGCCCTACTAAGCCCTCATCCTTCTTTCGTCAGGCCCTCGTTTGCACACCTCCTGGCGACCTCGGAGCACGGCTCGGGGCCTCTCAGCCGAACCCCGGGAGGCACGCTCGTGTGAGTTGATTCATTCTAGTCGTACTACACAGTTTAGGGTTAGGGTTCAGGGACAGTATGTAGGTTCTACATACATACCTGCATACGTGCATGCATCATTGCAATGCGAAGTTTAGTACTGCTGCTAGGACCCATGATGCTCTCGCTCAGCTTTTACTCTCATTGTGTGTTCATCACCCTTATTGCTACCAAGACTGCTTCAATCTTTCACTACATGATCAAGGAGGCATATGGCAGAGGTTGCGCTATTCCGCCTGGTTGGGCCAAGAGAGTGATGCGGGAAAGCGCTCAACCCTGACCCTAAACCAAAGCTACCAAACCCGAACCCGCAAACTTCCCGGAGCCTGTAAAAGGGTTTTTCATCGGCCCAGCGGCCCACGAGAACGGCAGGCCGATGTCTCCTGGTACCGCTCCCTGCGCTCGGCGTCCCAGCGGTAGTGGCGGTGGTCGGAGTAATAATTCAGTGGAGTTTAGCGTTGAGGGGATTCTTCTGCCTTCTTCCAGAACGAGGCGGAGAGAAGCAGCAGCACTGGTGCTGGTACTGGTTTTGGTAGTGGTCGTGGTGGTGCTGGTGCTGGTGCTGGTGCTGGTGCTGGTGGTGATGGTCGTGGTAGCAGCAGTATTAGTAGCAGTGGCAGGCAGCAGTGGTTAGCAGGTGGCAGGTTATCAGGCAGTAGCTCCAGGTTGGTAGTCAATACACAGCTTCGGCCTCACGGGCTTCAGGCGCAAGCGGCAGTAATGCTATCACTGCCATGTTCGCCAGTATCAGCATCAGTATGACGGTGCTCTTCGGTTCTAGAAAGGATGGCCCGGAGGTTTCAGCAACCCGTCTTTCAAGGGGCCATCTATTGCCAGGCTCATTCTCGAAGAAGCTAACATAGAGGCCTGAATCATTACCAATACTATTTTGGAGGTTCCTTATTATAAGTATAGTATAAAGGGCCCCAAAACCCTGGTCTAACTATTAAGGCCCCTATAGTAGGCATGATGCCCCAAAGAGATCTTCCTGGTGGCTCAAGTTTCAAGGGAGCAGACCTACACGGCCACTCGGCCCTGCCTTTGAGGGTGACCGAAGTAGAGACCTGAACCATGGGTTGTGGGGCCAGCGCTGTGGTTCCGGAGGACCGCGCTGGCAGGTATTGTAGTATGGGTGCGGTCTAGGTCTCGATTTGCATCAGGGTCCCTACTTGCTGACCTCCCCACTCAGACCTCGCTTTGCAGTCAGGGCAACTTTAGCCTGCAGCTTCTGTGCGTTTGAAGCTTCGGGGGTTTCAAGACAAGAAATGAGCCGGTTGAAACAGATAGGGCAAGCAGCTGAGCCCTGCAGATGCAGGGACTCATTTCTGTCAGAATTCACGGCCCCGCTGGCACCAGGATTGTTTCAGGTTCAGGCCTTTTGCCTAGCCAATATCAGAAAACGCCCACATGGTGGCCACAGGAGTCCTAGAAGAAGAAGGATGACAACCCTTGTTCTCCCCTGCTGATTCTAGTAGTTCTGATTAACAGCAGTGCGAGTTTGTAGTGTTGCCGTCTACAGCTGCTGCCAAAGAAGAACCGTCTGCTAGCATCTTGTAACAGTGCTTTTCATGTCGGCTGGGCTGGGAGGTGTCCTTTGCACCATGCTTTGTTAGGGTGCAGGCTTTTGAGGTTAGGGCCTAGGGTTTCCTAAGATTCTCCCGCAGGGAGTGCGACGATCGACATCCCGAGACCTTGCAGCGACTCTCCGGCAAGCATTTTGATTTCGAGAACTCAGGCGATAATTTAGCTACGACTACTACTGAGATTCTTGTTGGCTAAGTTGCTGTTGCCAGGAGTGTTTTGGCTGTCGTCGTCGTGGCGGCGGCGGTGGTGGTTGTTGTTGTAGGTTTTGTGGTTGTGGTGGCTGTGGCTCCTTCGGTTATTGAGCTTGTGGTGGTTGTGGCTGTGGTTTGGGTTGTGGTTTGGGTTGTGGTTGGTGGCGGTGGTGGCGGTACTGGTGGTGGTGGGCGTATTGGGGGCGCTGGAAGAGTGGTAGTTGCAATTGCTGTTGCTGTAGCTGGTGCTGTTGCTGTTCCTGCTCCTGTTCCTGTTCCGTTGCTGCTTGTGAAATTTCCCTGTCTTGAAGCGCCGTGTTGACATGTCCTCATGCGAGCGTAGTTTTTTGTGTTAGTTCTGAACGCACCCTGTACGACAGACGTCTTGGGCTCAGACCAAAAAGTGTGCTCGTTTGCGTGGTTGGACACTCACTAATCCAGTTCCTGCTTCAAACTGGTAGCGGAGCTGTGAGGACAACCACTAGTGTTTCACCCCCGTTGAGCCTGTGGTCCGGGGTCCGTTGGGTAGTGTAGTGATAGTCGCGGCGCAAAGGCCCCTTCTATCCTCGAAGCCATGAGCGTGGCAGGTTTGCGTTACCAGCCCAATCTCTGGTCACAGAACCTGAGCCCTGCAGAAACCAAAAGCGGGTCGTACATATACGACGGTACGGCTGCTGGCTTCCATGATTGGTGCTTCCGGACACAGATCCGTGTGCTGCAGCATAAGGAGAAGCAGCGGCGCGAAGCTCTTAAGGACCTGCGTTTTGCCGAGTCGGCAAGGGCCAAGAGCGAGTCACCAAGGAAGTGGCGTGGCAGGGCAAGTCAGGGGACCAGCGCATCGCCCACAGATGGTGATGGAAGCAGCGGTATACCCGCCAGTCCGTCTAGCGCAAAACGGACTAAGCCCGCGTCCGAGGCAGAAGATGAGGATGCGGAGTCGCTACCGTCGCACCCTAGCCAAGTGGCGGGCGACGATGAGCAAGAGCCGGACACAGATCCGGCGGTGTACACCTTGCAAGACGTCAAGGACGAGTCGCTCGACATGAGCGAATGCGTTAGCAAGATCCTAGAGGGTCTCCGAGGAGATGCCTTTTGCATCGCTCGCGACGTCGGCCTGGAACGTCTGCTTCGCCATGACGGCGTCGACTACCTGATAGAAGAAATCAGGAGGCAAGCCTTCCCTCTTCAATCCGAAGAGGCGTCCGAACTTTTCCGTCAGGGACAGCTCCTGACGGGCCCACTTGCAAAGCAACCCGGCGAGCCTATGTTGTCTTACATAGCCCGCCGAAAGCGGTGGTGGTCGACCTTGCGTGAGCTGGATCCTGATATCCGCCTTTCTGAAGCAATGAGGGCTAATCTCCTTGTTGAGCTTTCAGGGTTGGAAAGGTCCGAGCAGCTAATGGTCAAGACCGCCGCCCGCGTACACAGCGTGGATGAGTACGCACGCGTCCTTGTTCAGCATCACTCAGTGGTGCACATGAAGGAACGTCTTCTTACCCAGAAGGACCCTAGTGGCCCAGGTAAGACCTGGAGACGTTTCGACGCTAAGCCCCAATACCCTAAGTTCGGCTATATGGGGTATGATGGTAGTGCCGCAGAGTATGGTTACCAGGAACAACAGGAATCCGCGGAAGGCTACGGTGACGGCTACGGCGAAGAAGCATACCAGGCCACAGCGTCTTGGGGAGATGATGCGGATGAATGGATTGATGATGAGGATCTAGCATTGCAACTCAACGCCTATACGGCAGTGGCATATGAAGCTGAGATTGACGATTTGGATGATTCCTATGCCGAGTCAGTTCAGCTTGCGTACGCGGCACAGACCGCCTTTGCCCAGGCGAAAGGAAAAGGAAAGGGGAAGAACAAGGGCAAGTCCCCCGGAAAATCCGGAGGGAAGGTCGTGCGTAGCAATTTGACCATTGCTGACCGTAAGGCCAAGTTAGCAGAGCTTAAGGCAAAGAGTAGGTGCCTGAAGTGCGGTGTGATCGGCCATTGGGCCGGAGATGCTGCCTGCAAGTTTAGCGGTAAGGGCAATGGCCCCAAGGGCACCACAACCCCAGCACAGTCTGGGGGAACTGCCAACGCAGCCGCAAAGTCGGCGGCGCCGAAGCCTCAGGCGTATTTCGCCGCAGTGGAGGAGGATGACACAGAGTGTGTCCATCTGTCGAATGCGAGCGCTGGTAGGCTCGAGGGTTACCCAGCCAACCTTGAGCTGACTCCCTCAAAGACCAATACCGGCAAAGGCCGCGGCAATGAAACCCTCTTCTCACCACAGCTTCGGCGCACAGCCGCCGCTGGGATCATGCGTGACAGCCCGCCTGAGGGTTCCGATCGCGTTTTCTCCTTTGGTCAGCATAAGGGTCTGACTTATGAGCGTGTCTTGTATACGTTTCCTGGGTATGTTCTTTGGGGACGCACGCAGAAGTGCCCATCCATAAATTTGGCCGATTTCTTGGATTGGGTCACGGAGTACTTTGATGTGCGTGATGATAACCCCATTAGCATCACGAGAAGGGATGTCCCTCTCAGCCAGGAACCCCCGCCTGAACCCTTTCAGCCCGAGGTTCGCCTCGCCGCGTCAGCTGCTTCGTCCAGCGAAGGCCCCCGGAAATGCCGGGGAGGTTGCAAGGAGTTCAACAAGTCGGGGAGTAACGCATACATAGACATGCGGACCTGTAAGAAATGCGGCACCGTCACCAAGACGAAGAAAGAGAAGCCTGTCATAGACCAGGCCACATGCCCCCACACCTCCACCGAGAGGTCGGGTAGCAGTAGGAAGACCTCCCGCATTAAGTGCAAGCTTTGTGGGATGCTTCTAGATGAGCAGCCGCAGACCGAGCGAAAGGCTAGGGATGACGCAGCCACAGTGCTGCGGGAGTCCAACACCCTGGACTTCGATCTTCTGCGCAGCATAGTCGGCAGCACGGGGGATAGCCTCCCCGTAGAGGTAGTAGTTCCGGCTATTGCCCAGTTTCAAGAGACCATAGAGGGTCACTTCGTAACCGAGCCCGTGATATCCCGCGGTGACCTTCTCGCATACCTGCAAGAGGCCTTAGACGATCACTCTGCGCCATCGACCAACAACAGTTGGGAAGTGGCGTCGGCGAGATCGCGCTCCTCGAGGGCCTCCGCGACGAGGCACGCCTTCGTGGCTTTCACTGAGGGGGTCACAGATATCCATCCGGCTTTGGTTGATTTGCCCGTAGTAAATATCTACGAGGATAAGCACGTATACGCCGTGTTGGATGAGGGCTGTAACTCGACTGTTCACGGTAGCGATTGGATAGCAAACGCGGCGGGGAAACTTGCGAACTTCGGTTACAGCACGAGGTTTAAACCTGAGGGCAATCGTACCTTCAAGGGTCTTAGCGGTGCTACCGAGACCTTGGGTAGCAGGACCATACCTTTCTCTATAATGGGATTGGAGCAGGACTTGAGAGTTCCGGGCGTCCTTGATTCGCATGAGATTAAGGGTACAGCCCCTCTCCTTTTGTCCCTTTACGCGCAGGCCCAGCTTGGTATAACCAAAGATCTTCGGTTTGGTGAGTGTGGTGTTCGACTTCCTTCTGAGGATAGCATCATTAGGATCAAGCTGTGTCGGACACATGACTCAGGGCTGTTATGCATAAACATAACAGAAGG